TCTGAACCCTGTCCAGGGTCCTCCACATCTTCCATAGCCGACTCATATGGTCCCTCGCTATCGGAGTCTGTTTGCAGCTTCAACGGCTCCTGCTGGGCCACAACAGGTTACTATGTTGTCCCAGCCAAGGAGGAGTCATTGGTGGTTCACCAACAAATTTTTGTTCTACTCAGACTAAATACTTGGTGTATTTTTTTTCTCCACTTGATAGATTGACCAGGATGGGCTGACCTTGTCCGAACGAACACTCTACCTGGGCCAGGATGACGAAAGCGAAAAGGTAAAGGATAAAAGAGCCAGATAGACCTGTTTGAAGGAGAGATGGCTTTGCAAGCAAATTTATTTGTTTATTATCTATTAATTTTTTAATGCTTCCCATCATCATCATCACCTCCTTTTTATGGCCCCATAATAAACCCTTGCGGGATGGAGTCTGGGCAACAGAATGCAGCAGAGTCTTTCCTGGCCGGATGCCCTTCCTTATCACCTAGGCGGAATTTTATTCAGCAGATAAATTCTCATTGCGCCCTGAGAGAAATATCTGCCTCTACGTGGGATCGAACTCACAGCCTCCTGGTGTTTTTTATGCTGCCCGCCTCCCTCCAAAATTTGTGGGAAAGCAGTGCCAAAAAGCTGAGCTTTCTTTAACAGCCGCCGTGTCCATTTCCCGCAATGCCCGGGAGCCAAACTACTGTGCTCTGATGCATTGTGGGAAATTCAGAATTTTTTGCAGGAGAGATGACCCAATCATCGGAGGGGAGCAGGTGGGTGCCTGGGAAAGCTGAGAAGCGGGGGTGCCAAGCAGGGCTGAGCATCCTTTAAAAGCAGCCGTGTCCAATGCATTGCGGGAAATCCAGAGCTTTTGAAGGACAGATCATCAGGGGAGCAGGTGCCCAGGAAGTCTCAGAGAAACCAAGCAGGTCCTCAGTGAGTTGAGCATCCTTTAAAAGCAGCTGTATCCATTTCCCACGATGCCTGGGAATGATGCTCCTGTGCTCCAATGCATTGTGGGAAATCCAGAGCTTTTGAAGGACAGATCATCAGGGGAACAGATGCCCGGGAAGTCTCAGAGAAACAGGGGCCCAAGCAGGTCCTCAGTGAGTTGAGCATCCTTTAAAAGCAGCCGTGTCCATTTCCCATGATGCCCGGGAGCGACGCTACTGTGCTCTGATGCATTGTGAGAAATTCAGCATTTTTTGCAGGACAGGTGAGCCAATCATTGGGGGGTAGGGGAAGACAGGGGATGCCTGGGAAGGCTGAGAAATGTGGGGTGCCAAGCAGGACTGAGCATTCTTTAGAAGCGGCCTTATTCATTTCCCACAATGCCTGGGAATGACGCTCCTNACCCTCGGCGTAGAAGTGAAAACTGGACATCCTCTTTTCCTGTCGATAGATGTGTCATTCAGACAAAAGAAAGAAATGCCAGTTGGATATTGTTGCAAAAGCAGAACCGCTCCACACCAAGGAAGACCAATAGGTCACCCACAGAAAATGCCCACGGCACTTTCAAGAAAAATGACAACCTCACAATGACCTGGAAGGAACGTGGCCCTCGCGCTAGGAACAGCACTCATGCTCCAAGAGAGAAAGAGGTTAGGCTTCTCCACAAACATGCCAGCCCACCCCCAAAGGGGAAGATGCAGGGAATGCCCTCTGCAAATGTCACCGTGAGGCTTCCTGGAGAAAAGCAGGGAGCCTTCCAGAAGATGGGCAAAAAGAGAACTGGCATTCAGGTAGAGCTGGCAAAAGGACTGGTTACTACTCTGTGTAGCCAGGCTGAAGACAGGAAGGATTCCACAACTTCCTTACGAAATGCTAGTCAGTCCCTTCTGCAGGAAGAACTCGCTTCAACTCTTAAGGTGGCGAGTGGAGCATCCCCAGGAAAAAGACTCATCAGCAAGCCAAGGAATGCCAGCTGGGCAGCAGAAGACAATCCCCAGAGCCCTTGCCACAGGAACTCAAGCAGGTCATTACCCAGCCAGGAGCCAGGGACTCCCCATAGAAATGTCACACGGGCCCTGAGCAGAACTCAACATGGTCTGCGAAGCAAGAATACTGTCCAAGCTCAGCTGGGGAATATCACTCAGTCAAAACCTAGGAGAGGACAAAGACCTCATGCAAATATCTCCCAAGGAAGGATAGACTCGCCAAGAAAGCAGCCTTCAAAGCCCAAAGGAAGGAAAAAGCCCATCATGCCATCCTTACCTCCCACTTGCTTGCTGTCTGAACACGCCATCGCCTGTGGGAACGCTCACTTGGAACGTGTGCCCAAACTGACCGATCCTGTTCTGAAAACCCTCTACCTGGCAGGTGAATCACTGAATCGTGCATGTACCCAAATTTCAAATGTTGAATCTTGTCGAGGTGGCGCAGTGGTTAAATGCAGCACTGCAGGCTACTTCAGCTGACTGCAGTTCTGCAGTTCNTTATCACTGAAGTTGTTAAGTTAGAAATATTCTCCCACCAGAGGTGCAGTAGCTCCTATTCTACAGCCCTCTTCCTCTCGTCCTCTCTCCTTTTCTTTTTCTGTTGTTATAGGTGTCTCTTTCAAATCTCAATTTATGTTTTCTTGGGATGCTATTTCCGCAAACCCAAGTATAGTTTAGTATCATTTCTTATTCCCTTCCCTTTGCTAATCTAGCCTAACTATGTTTGTTTGTTTGTTTGTTTTTTTGCTAGAATCAATTATTTTCTTGGACTCTTATTACAGATTCCTTCCTTTTCTGAAGCTGAAATTATGTTATTGGACAATAATACATCAGAGTATGCTTAGCTGTAATAGTAGAATCAATTTTTGCTCTTGGTTGTTATTAGAGCACAGTATATTGTACGTGCAAACATATACTATGCTTTGTCTTGTGGATTGGTGAAATGCATACAGAAGCAGTATATTGTATAATTAATTTCACAAAAATAAGAATGTAGGACAAATGGAAACACACTGCCAAATTAAAAAAAAAAACATGAGGAAATAAGATAACTCAGGTCCCAAAGGTGCTTTTTCTGGAAGCAGCTGAACTTTCTGGTTTTTTATTTGAAGACATTTTGCTTCTCATCCAAGAAGCTTCTTTGGCATTCCCCACTATCCTATCATAGCTGAAGAAGCTTCTTGGATGAGAAGCAAAATGTCTTCAAATAAAAAAACAACAACAAGAAAGTCCAGTGGCCTCCTAAAAAGCACCTTTGGGACAACCATGACCTGGATGACTGAGAATCTGTTCAGACTTTTCATCTAGTACAATGACGGTGAACCTTTTGAGCACAGAGTGCCCAAACCGGAACGCACATGCGCACTGGCCAGCTGGTCTTTGGGTTTCCAGAATGCGCCGGCGTGCACATGCCTGTTTTGGGGCATTTTTTGGGCCATTTTCATGCTGCTTTTTGTGCTGTTTTTCAAGCCAAAAACAGCCTGAAAAGGGGCCTGGAAAGGGCCAGAAAAATGGCCTGGTTTTTGGCTTGTTTTCAGGCTGTTTTCAAGCTGGAAAAGGCACATGTGCCCATTGGTTGGCCATCATGGCTCTAGTATGTTCAATATTATTTTTGAGACCACCTCAAGTAGCATAGGCAGAACAACAAGATAAGATAAAACAAAAAAACCCCTCCAAAACACAAAGAATCATTATTTTATCTATGATCAAAAATCAGGGGCAATGTTTGAATTGTATATTACCTGGAACTCTAACGTGAAAAGTACACTAATTATTCCTTTGCCCAGGGACCATTCCCCTCATGTAAGTGTCTCTCCCCAACCCACTAGTTAAAATCAAAGGAAATTAAGAAGGTTTTAACATCCTGTACTCAATAATTTGAGCTTTGGATGGGTGCTTTTTGGCACATTAAACTCCTACTATCAATTAAGTTACATGCATTTTATAAAACAAAATATTGAACATATATGATGGCCCAAACATGCCAAGGTTTCTTTACTTTAAGCTACCTTAGATTAGATTAGAGTTTCTTTAATTTGGCAACTTTCAGATGTATGATGGGAGTTGGAGTCCACATATCTGAAAGCTGCCAAGATTGAAAAACACTGGGACAAATTCACTAAAAACTGTTGGAAGAAATGTCCTTCTGGGTCAGCTCCAAGTGGGGAAAAAGACACTGGAGACATGGTGGCTGCTTGGAAAGATGGTTTAATGGTGGACAGGACNTTGAAACCCACCACTGTGTCAGTGCCTCATCAGCCATAAACCTCACTGCACGTCACTGGTCTGTGGCTGTGGCTCCATGAAAGAGTCCTCTAAGCCCTTTACCCACCATCCTCATACAGCATCTCCCCAGGCTTCTGGAAAAGCTGGTTAGGTTTGTTTTTACTATTCATTGTATTTCTGAGCAAATCTCTCTTTAACAGTTTAATTCTAGAAGAGCAGAGTGATAGATCTCTTCTGATTTTTCTCTCAACTTAGCCTAAGGAGGAGGAAAAGTGTTAAAGTTCATCATTTCTAATCAGTGAGATGATTTAATGAAGAAATGCAAGCCCTTTATTATGTACATCAAGATAAAGGTATCAATGGGACTGAAAACGAAAGGGAGAAGGAAAAGAGAAGAGTAACTAGAATAACTGAAGAATTGTTCAATTTGAAAAGATTTCTCCTGGCTGGTTGTTCTCTAGCCAGGATCACATACACAAACATGAAACATTCCCAGTAACTCAGATTTGTCTACTTAAAAAATCCCAATTCACATCAATGATTATTATCCCCTAGATTGTTCTATTTGTTCTGTTTCTCCAATACTCAGTTCTCAAAAAATTGGGGCAGGTTTAGGTTGCTTTAAAGTACTTGGGGAAAATGCTTCCTCCTCCCATGAGGAAAAAAAACCCAGGATAAAGACAAAAGGTACCCTACAACTGCATTAAGAAAACTCCCTTAATAACTTTTTCTACCAATAGACAAGAAAATTTGTAGCTCAAAGATAAATTGTGAAGTCCTTGGTGCTCTTGGAGCTTGGTTGTTAGCTTGCAGACATTTCATTAGCCAACTAGGCAACATCATAGGTGCTACTAAGTATGGAGTTTGCTCTCTGTTGATATACTGTACATATTGTCACTGCTGGTGAGGATGGAGTTTTCTCCTTGGTTATTTCTTGATAAGGACATTCTTTCTGTTGGATATTTTTCTCTGATGTTTATCTGGGTATAGGTTGCTGGAGAGATGTGTGTTGTCTTTTTGTTTCCTTCTTAGCTTTTTTTATTGTCTCTTTTGAATGGTATGTAAATGTGATTTATCTCTCTATATCTATTGATGGCTAATTTATCTGAATGCCCAGTTTCTAGGAATTTCCTAGCAGTTTTGGATTTAGTTCTCAGGAAACTAGAGTTTCCCAGTTAAAACTACAGTTGAGTCTATCCATGGTGTTGTGAAATCAAGGAGCTTCATCATGCATTCTGACTGCTAATTGGTGTTCATGGATGAGCTCTGCTATTTTTTTTTGCCTATCTGCCCTACACAATGATTGTTACAGTTCTTACACTGTATTTTGTAGATAACTCTTATTTATTCATCTAGGACTGCTGAATCGCTTGGTTTACTTAAGAGTTTTGGAGATATGTGCTATGTGATGCTGTGTGGTTATAGTAATAAGCTTGTTATTTCTGAGAAGTTTTTGATATATGTTATCTTTCTCATTGCTTGTGTTGGTTGTTGTGCTGTAGGGTTGAATGGTCAGGCACTTTTTGATAAAGTTGTGTGGGCATTCAATTTATTGGAAGGAGTTGTATAGGCAGTCACAGTCAGTTCCACTTTTCTGGTGTTCTGGCTTGTGGCAGTACACTTGTACTTATCTGAATAATGCTTTTACGCGGCTCCTCTTATGGGAGATTGGATTGTTATTTTGGTTAGTACTTGGCTAGTGTGGGTTGTTTTTAGATACCCTTGTGCTTCTAATTTGCCGTCATTTCCTCTGCTGATGAGGATATCCAGGAAGGGTAATGTGTTGTTGTTTTCATCTTCCCTTGTGAGTTTTATTCCTTTGAAGATGTTAATTGTTTCACATGCCTTCCTCTAGAATGTAAAAATAAAAAATAAAAATGGAATGCAAAGACTGTTTGGATCGATTTTTATATGGACTCCTTGATGAAACAGGATTTACAAACATAATATGATGATCCAACTAAATCAAAGAGAGAGAGAGAGAGAGAGAGAAGAGTATATGTTGAATCCAGTGAAATTTGCAATTGTAAATTCAACCACATCTGTTTGCAAAGTGCAAAATTGCAAACTTTTAAATTTAAAAATGAATTAAATAGAATTAAAAGAGAAGAATATGAAATGATGTATTAATGGAAAGTTATAAAATAACAAATACTCAAAAACATTGACTAGGCAATTGCCAACTCAACACTGATTCAAAGGCGCATGCATACACGCGCATAAATAGCTATGTACTTGTTTACAATGGACATTATTCTTCATTGTACAGAGTTTGGACATAAAGGCTCTACAATATTGTTGGCTTTTAAATATAAACTAAAAG